ACAGTGTTGTTTAACTCTGACTTTTTGTTGGACTTTTATCTGAATGATATATCTATTTATGAGTAAAGGGTATTAAAGCCATTCAGTATAACTGTTCTGAGGTATATTTATTCATGAGTAGTGCTCATGTTATGAAATTGGATGCACTGACATTCCTTCTTGGCATTGTTCCCTTTACCAATGTATATTGACCTTTGTTTTTTCTTGTTAATTTTACTTTGAAGTTTGTATGGTTTGATAATCCTGCTTGCTTTTGAATTCCAAGAACTCGAAGTATCATTTTCTACCCTTTCATTTTCAGTCTTTATGAATTGGAGGTGAGATGTGTTTCTTACATTACACATATATTTTACATTTGGATCTTGTTTTTAATCTAATCTGTCAGTCCGTGCAATTTGACTGGAGAATTAAGACACTGCACTGTGTGTGTGTGTGTGTGTGTGTGTGTGTGTGTGTGTGTCCAACAACAAAAAGGCCTAATATTTCTCTCTTTGGAGGTATTTAGAATGAGGACAATATTTTTCCCAAAGTATCTATTATAGGACACCATCTGATGTAAGTAGTATTGTGAAAACTTTAGTAAAAAATTCTCCATCTCAGCCTCTGTCCAAGAAGGACAAATTGCTTTTGCAAGTCTGAAGGCGAAACTCAACCCGTAAGGCAAAGTTTTCAGTGTTAAAACTAAATTACACCAATATCTAAGGCTTTTGCACCCATAAAAGAGGGCATGGCTAGTGTTGGAACTGCCCACCAAGCTTCTCACATACCTTGCCCATTGATTTGTCAGGATTGCTGGCCACATGCCTGGCAAGTGTCTTCACTACAGGACATACTCTTAATGGTTTTGCTCAGCGCAGAGGTGGTGGGGTGCACAGCATCTGGCTTGGTTGAGAAGCCACTGACACATAGCTTTCCACCAGCTCCAAAAGAAATGCTCCTGACCCTAACCCCTATCCCTGACAAAACTTTACACAGCAGGATTCTTTTCCTTTCTAAATCCAACTCTTTTTTTAAAAATCCCTTCACCTAGCTGAATGTGCTGTGTAAATGCCAGTTGCATTTTCTTTGCAGGGCAAACATGTAGGGCCTTTCCAGACCCTAGAGTTTCCTACAGCCCAGGACCGCCACTGAGTTGTTTCTCTTTTGCTCATTATCTTAGTTACTTTGTGTCATAGCTATCATTCTCCTCAGTCCAAGCTGAATCTTAAAGAGGCTGCCTTCTGCTCCCTCAGAAGCAGCTGCTGCATCTTACAGATAGTAAATGTGGGAGCACATGTGTACTCCCAGCACTCTGGAAGGCCAAGGAAGGATGGAAATTGGAGCCCAGCCTAGGCAACTTAGTGGCTTACCAAGACCCTGTCTCGAAATTTAAAAAGAAAAATGATCCTAGGATGTAGCTCAGTGCAAAGATCCTGGGTCCAGCTACCAGTCACACACACACACACACACACACACACACACACACACACACACAGCAGAGGTGTTTTTCTTTCCTTCAAGGCCTGTGAGACTTCTTAAAATGGAGACTTCTTAAAATGGGGGCTTCTTAAAGTGGCTCCTCACGCCAGCACTGTTTAAATCTGCTGAGCCATTGTGTCTCCTACACTCAGGCACTGACAAGACTCAGGTTGTCTTTGTGCTCAGGCTGTGTACTTGTCAGGTAGCAGAGTACATTCTTGGGTGTGTGCAGGCCTCTCCCACTGAGCTGGAAACTGTTTGGTGCTGGTGCGTACTATTTTATTATTTCACTTATTATTTTAATACCAACATTCTGTGTTGCACCTGGATGCGAGCTCGCTCAAGTTGTCTTCCAGGGATTTCCTACAGTTATCCCATTTCCTCAGTCATAACAGTCAACTTGGACGAGTATCCCAGAGAAATTTGTGAGTTTTTCTGCCTCTAGTCTTCTATGAATATTTATATTTTTTGATGTTCTTGTTGAATTTTTTTCTTGAATTTCTTTCTCTGTGATTAATTTCAGATAGTTAGGTAGCTATGTCTTTAAATTAGATCTTAATGTTTGCATTTGTAGAAGATTAATTGGGTATTGTTTGTGTCTTCAATAAATATACTACTTAGTATATTCCTTATTTCACTCAACTTTTGGGGTCACATATAGCTTTTTAAATATATAATATAAATAAGAATTTTATGTTTTCTTTGATAAGCCTAGCTCTGCATTAGTTTTGAAGAAATATTTTGTTCTTCATTATCAACGAAATTTTCTCGCCTTTTATTTTGTCATGTATATGTCCTTATACACCTAACATTGTAAAATTTGACCCTTTGGGGTATTAATTTCATTTGGGTTGTTCATTCATTTTTAAATCAGGGCTTAGCTATATATTTTAGTCTTGATTTGAATTCACTAGTATCCCAGACTGGCCTTGAACTCACTGGGATCCTCCTCCTCAGTTTCCTGTATACTGAGATTGCAGGAAAGCAAGACCACACCTAGCAATTTATTTTTATTCCTATAAATATTCATGAGCATCTTCTAGGATATAGTTAATTTATACACTTGATGCTTTTGATTATTGCTTTTAAAACATGCTACGTGGAATGAATGCAATGTTTGGTCTAGGAATAGTTGTATCTCACTACTTAAGCAAGATTCTTCTAAACGCCCTACAAAATGCTCTGAGAATTTTGAAGTGTTCCACTCAAGATAGTAAGGACATGTCCTGCTCTTGCCTTGGATGAGCCTTGGCGTATTTCCTTCTAGCTTTTACAGGTAATCCTTTCCTAGGCCTACACTAGTTTCTTCACATGAATGCCCTGCTGAATAGCTGGTGAGAATCATCTGCATACACCACAATGTGTTACTGTATTATTCTCACCTCTTCAATACCATTCCCTATAAACACCTATCACCGTAGTCTCCCCAGACTCTCAATTCAGACTCTCAACTACATGAGTACTTCAAGCTTTTCCTGGTAATCCTCTTCCTAAGTTCCACAATGGGAAACTATCACAAGGAATAAGCTGTAACAATTGTACAATACACCCCTTATCTCCCAAACTCTCAGAGTGTTAGCATTTGCTATCTATGTCTAGTGTCTTAAAAACCATTACTTCCTGAACTTTTCCAAATTTTTTGGTGGTTTCAGGTAGGCATAGAACTTTAGACATGTTACTCTTTTATGATGAGAGGTGCAAATCACCTTTTTGCCAATTGTAGCCTGGATACCAAGCTCCTAAGGCATGTTCAAGAAATAAAAAGGGCTTTCTATGCCAAACTTTCCAACCTGTAGAAATTGAATTAATACTTAGTGTTCTAAGGCAATTCCTCTTTATTGGAGGTTAAGTGAACAAGAAAGCAGCAGTTTTCATGTTCCCCTTGTGCTTATTTTCATTATTATTGTAGCTCCACAAGAGGATGGTCTTCTAAGTCTGGACATCCTCTAGGACATCAGAAGAGAGGATGTTGGCAAAGAGTATGACCTGGCTATTACTGGTAAAATTGATAGAGAGAAAGCAAATGTCAGAATTACTGATAACAAGCAGAATGTGGCATCAAAGCTAAATCATGGCTTTTATTTTTGTTTCCTCATTTGTTGCAAGGAAAGGAACTTATTCCCAAATGTCTTCTCCCTAACAACTGTTAAGTAAGAAATGAGAGCTTCCTCTTCACCGCCAAATTTACACATACACTTAAATAGTTAGAAACAGGTACATTCTTCTTATTGATTTGACAACCATATCTTGCTTAATATTCTAAACAAAATGAGACAAAAATGTTTTACATTTACCATTCATTGATATAACAAAAGCGTATTTGGTATTTTTATTAATATTATTCCACTCAATTTCCTGAAAGCAGTATATTTTAAAGCTGTTCAAAGTGACTTTTTCACATTTCCAAAGCTACGAAAAAAACACTAAACATCTTAAGAAAATAGAATTTTGTGGTTTATTCATGAAGCAAAATTTTAAACATGGTTTCTTTAAAATGTGTACTCTTGCATTTGCATACTTTATCAACTTTTTATAAACTTGGAAAAGAAAAGCATCTTTCATCTTGTTCGATCATAGTTTATAGTAAGTGAGAAACTAGTTTGAAATTGACCTGTCCCTCCTAGCCACAGGTGATGAGAAGCAAAACTCATCTCTTAACATTCGGTTCACTAGATTTTTCATTGAATTGTGGTATCTATCAGGCAACCACAGAGCCATTAAAATATAATTTTTAAAATTATGAATTGTGTCTATACCACATTTATGAAAAATCCATTTTGTGGACTAGCTTAATATGCTTTTTTTAGGACAAATGTCAAGTAGAAACAAAAAAATTATGTATGTTGTCAAACTTTCTTTGATTTATTGTTTCACAAGTTCAATAAATCAAGTATTTTTCCATTTTTTCTATTTGAAAAACAGAGCAAATTCCATTGTTACAAAGGACTAGCAATTTTTTCACCTCTTCATCACTCTCCTATGATGAGTTTTCCACTCTTGAGTAACATGCGTATTTCATGATTAAGTAAAAATAAATACCATCTTTATGGCAGAATTTGTTTTTTAGAAACTCAATATGTTCTTAATCCATCCTACCTATCTCTTGTAACTTGACATCAATAAGAATTTATGTAAAACTATAAAATTAGAAATGCAATAATTAAGCAGATTTTTATGAGAAAAATAAGATTATTTGTTCACTTATAGTCTGATTTTAATGTTGATTATATAATATGTCTATGGGTAGAATTAAAATTTCCTAAATCATGTAGAAGAAATTACAATTTTGGCTACATATTGTGGTTTAGACTATATATTTTCCTTTCGATTTGTGAGAATTATCTCTGAAGAAAAACTAGTTTGGTAACTCATATAAATGCAACTTAAAGAAAAAGTCACATAAACTTAAAGGTTATAGAAAAAATATAGTGAATATTTACATATTATTTTTAATAGCATGACAAAGATTATATCTGTTCCAATGATGAATTGTTACATAGAATTGCTTCATATATGTTGGTTTATAATTTCTTCCCTTACAGGTAGTTTGGGCCAATTCATATAAAGTTGGTTGTGCAGCTGCATCTTGCGCTAACTTTGGGGGAGCTACATTTGCAATGTTTGTGTGTAACTATGGACCTGGGTAAGTTATTTTGCTCTTAAAATTATGTTATGTTGATGTTATGTTACATGTTAATTATTTACCAAAAAGTACCATATACAGGAAATAAATATTTTTGTATTTTTTCTATAGTACTTTACTTACTTATTTAATTATTTAGGTTTTCTGAAACAGAGTCTCACTATATATCCTGCTCTGGCTTGAAACTGTGATCCTCAGGTCTCAGCCTCTCAGGTGCTGGGATTATAGACATTCTCTACCACCTCAGCAGCACTTAATGATTTTATTGCTTTATTCTCGCCTTACAAAAATAAAGCACATTCAATTGCACTATAGTATTTCTTTGATAACCAAAGTTTCTCCTTGTTTCTACTAAGAAATGATCCTTTGTGGCTATGACAAAATGGATTGAATATTACAAGATGTCTATATTTCCGATAAGAAAAATCTCCCTCTAGAGTACTAACAAGACAAGATAGGTGAAAATAGGAAGTGGTGAAAGAACACTGCCTTGTGTAAAGCACTTTACTGGAAATGACATATTTAAATGAGAGTGAAAATGAGAGAAATTGTTGCATAAATTTAAAAAAGAGGAAATATAAAATTAACTGCCACGATTCTATCTAAATGCTGGAACACAAAAGAATTTGACAAATTCTTATCTAATGTAATGGTAACATAAGTAGAATGAAAAATTATCCAGAATGATGGCAAGAGCACTAATTTCTGAAAAAAGAAAATGATAATTTTCATGCCCTCCTAACAATTAGTTATCTAAATGGAAACATAATACAAACAAAAGTAAAATTTTGAAATTCTAATTCCAATGGGTCTATATAAAAAATAGAAAAACAATTAATAATATGATTCTTCAACAACAAAAAAATTTTTTACAGCAAAAATTTTAAAATAAAATCTAGGAATGATGAAAATCCAGACTAAGAAAATCTATACACTATTGGCAACAAGGAACAGGTACATGCCAAAAATACGTTGATAGATAAAAATGTGTGCATCTACTTCTGATTTTCACTTAGATGCACAAATAGTAAAAATATATCACCTAAAATGTCAGAGTCGAGTACAGTTTTCATAGATATTAAAGAACAGCAGAGTTACTGCCATTTATTACCATGTTGTCTTTTATGGACATTAATCACTGAATTTGAAAGGAAAATACAAAATTATTAATAAGATATTAAGACTCAAGATTTCCTGAGCAAATCATATTTTCAGTTCCAAGCAAATCATGTACATAATAGATTTCTTATAGATTTTTGGAAGCCTAAGAAGATACTGTAAAAGCACTGCTTACCAAGCAATAGGGACCAAAATGCTCCACCACTAAAACAACCACCACAAAGAGAAAACAGACAAAATGCAGTACAAGGAGCAACACTGTTTAAGTACGTGTCATACAGTGAAGGACTAATGGAGGGAAATTGAGAGAATATTGGACCTTCTGAACTGAACTGAAGAAACAAAGCCAAGTGCAAAGAAGCCAATACAGCTAGAGATTATGGGGAAAAAGTACAAGAAAAGAAGTAAACATAAAAAGAACCCTGGAGATCTGAAACTGGTATGTCTTCCATGCCCAGCATATATGGTTGTCCTGTGTCTGTGAGGAAATTGAAATTAGCATAGGAAACATGTGAAGGAATTAGAAAATACAGCTCTTGTGGGCTGGGGATTTAGCTCAGCGGCATAAGCACCTGCCTTGCCAGCAGGCGGTCGTGAGTTCAATCCCCAGTACTGACAAAAAAAAAAAAAAAATACAGCTCTTGGCACTCACACAGGAAGCAGAACCAGGGGGCTCCAGACTGAGGTAACAATTCTACAGTAAAATTTTGAAAACTCAGAATGTTCCCAGGTAACATAAGTCCATAGAGAAATAATATGATATCCAGAACCTAACACAATGTCTGCTATCTACTTAAATATTACCAAGCATGTGAAGCAGACAAATGAAATTTATATAGAGAAAAATAATAAATCATTTGAAACTGATATAAAATTTTAAAAGTATTTGAATTAGTAAGGAAAGAATAAAGTAGTCCTTATAATTGTATTTCATATTTTCAAAAGTGAAAAGGAGACATATAAGATATTAAAAATAGAAGTTGAAAAAAAATAAGTTAATGGTAGACTAGATATTCCAGAAGAGACTAGTGAACTCAAAGGCATAACAGTACAAACCATCGCAACAGGTTTCTAAAGGGAAAGAAAATCCAAGGATGATGAAGAGGGTGTCAGCTGCCTATGTGATAACTTTAGTGTCAATTGATTGTCTCAAAAGAAGTGAGACACAGTAAACTATTTAAAAAAATATGAACAAATCTTTACAAGTTTAATGAAATTTGTAAATTTATACATCCAAGAAGTTTATCAGACTCCCTTATAGAAAACATAAATACTAGTACACCAAGTACCTTATAATCCAAACTTTCAAGATCAATAAGAAAGAGAAAAATTTTTAAGTATCAGGATAGCACAGATATGTTACACACAACAGAACAAAATAATAATGACAATATCTTTTTTAAATTTTATTTTGAATGTAGTAAAAACACAACAGAACAAGACAGAACAAAACCAATCGACAAGCGTAGTGACGTTGGTACAGAACTTCACATCAGGATACTGGGATAGTAGTAATAGGTACTATGGTATATCTCGTTATCTTCACAATAGTTGTCCAGTCAGGTATAGTGAAATCAAACCAATAACAGAATGTTGTAAAACCAGTTGAAGGAGAATATTAAATAGAGCAAAACACTCATTACAAAATGTAACATTGAAAATAACCATTGCCTTCAAACAGAACATAGAAACTCCCCATGCTTGCTATATTGCATGTGGTCATCCTCCCAAGAGATGCTCAGAACTCTGTCCCCAGGTGCTGATGGGGGATGAGGGAGATGTTTGATTCTCAGCCCGAGTGCCGGTAGGCTCACGGGAACAGCTAACTGGTTCACCTCTGAGAGGCACCAGGGGCACTTGCTAAGACGGCGCGCAATTGCCTTCTATACAGCAGCCTAAGTCCCAACATCCACAGGAGTTTTTTTGTTTTTTTTTTTACCTTCTGGAAACAATAAGACAGTAGATAACAATAACTTTAAATACAGAAAGAAGAGAATATATCTACTAAGAATTTTGTATCCACATCTTTCAAAACTAAAGGTGAGGAGACTGAGGGAGGAGGATCTCCAGTTCAAGGCCAGCCTGAACTATATAGTGTATAAAAGAAAAAGAAAGAAGAAAAAAAGAAAGAGAAAGAAAGGAAGAAACAAAGAAAGAAAGAAAGAAAGAAAGAAGACAGCAAGAGAGAGAGAAAGGAAAGAAGGAAGCCTACAAACCTCTGCACATGACTAAATACTTGGGTAATGTGTATGCTATGCTGTTTTTCTTAATATTCTCTTTCAAAAATAATCATTTAATCAAAGATGCTAATGATGTGTTTTAATGGCTATTACATACATGAAGTTAAAATTCATGATAAGTATAAAAGTCTGAGAGGCCAAATGGAAGTGTACCATGCTAAGGTTCTTGTACTTCATGTAAACTGAGATAACTGTAAGAGATGCATACTATAAACTCTAAAGAGTCTAATAAAAAGAGAAATAGCAAATAAGTTTACAAAGCAATTATAGTGAAGTTTTTAAAAATACTTGATTAATCTAAGGAAAAGCAGTGAAAGAGGAAGGGGAAAAGAACAGAGGAGATAAAGAAGATGACAACTTCAAAAATAATTACGTCAATAGCTATCTCAAGTGGAAATGGTATAAATGTCCAAATTGAAAGACAAAGATTGAATATTGGGTAAGAAATTGGGAATTAGTTTTATTGCTGCTTATAGGAAATATACTCTAAACATAAAAACACAGATTAAAAGTAAAAGAATGATTTACCATGCTAACATTGGTTAAAAGAATCCTAAATGCTATTATCATCATATGATGTATAATTTAAGCATAAGATATTAACAGGCGTAAAAGTCATTTCAAAATGTTAAGAGGGTTAATTAAGAGAACTTAAGAATCCTAAATATTTGCACTTCATATGAAGCAAAAACAAGTAGAACTAAAAAGAGAAATAGATAATGCAAAATTAGTATCAGAGAGCTTAACACTCTTAACCGTAATAGTATAAGCAAGTAGACAGATGATCATCGAGGTCATAGCTTAGCACAACACGCTGAACCCACTTTACCTGACTGACCCTGACAGACTGCATCATCCACTAATAACAGAATACATTTTATTCAACACACATGGAATATTTACCAAAATAGGTTGCATTTTGGGTCATAAAACAAGTCTTTATAAATTTAAGTAGATTAAATATATATAAAATGTATTTTCTGAGCATAATGGCAAAAGACTGCAAATTAAATTCAAAGTAAAAAGAATAAATGAAATAATAAAGTCAGAAATAAATGAAATAATAAAATTAATAGAGAAAATTTTAAAATCTCAAGGTGTTTGTTTGAGCAATAAAACTGATAATTCTTAGACCACATTGATTAGGGAGAAAAAGATGAAAGTCAAACATTAGATTACAGCACCACATATTTCTCAAACATTAAAATGATGATATTAGTAATATTTATACCAATAATTTACATTTTAAATAAAATTGAAATATTCCTCAAAAGATACAAATTATAATGAAATAAAAATTACAGTGCAATATGTCTCACAAACATAGGAACAAAATCTTTGACCAAAATTTAGCAACTGACCCAGAAAAAGCATAAAATACCTTGTCCAAATGGGATTTATTCCAGGAATTTAGAGATCATTTAACATTCTAAAATCAATCCAAGTAAATTGTAATGTTAATCAGCCTAAAAATAAGGATCATACAATCATTTAAATCGATTCAGAGAAACTCAAATTTATTCCTGATATAAACTCCCAGCAAACTAAAAACAGAATATCTTAAGCCTAATAAAGAATATCTACGAAAAAACTTGCAGTTCACTTTATAACACACAGCAAAATCTTTTTTTGTAAAATACTAAATAATAAATATGTTAAGCTTTGTGTGCCATATTCAATATCTATTATTTGTTAATCTTCCTTTTCTTGTTTTCAGTTACCCTTTATAAATGCAAACAAATCCCTGATTTACAGACTGCGCAAAAACAGCCCGTGTAGTCTATGTGTCATATTTTATGACTTCAGGCTTATAAGTCTATGTAGAAAACTCAATAGAATCTACCAAAATTTTGGGGGGCCTGATCAGTTTGGCTATTTCTTGGAATACAAAAATCAATACACAAAAGTCCACTGCATGTCCACAAAATAGAAATGAATAATCAGAAATTGAATTAAAATAGCAATACCACTTATAATAACACCAGAAATTATCTAGGGATTAACCTGGAAAAATAGGTGATAGACCTCTATGCTGAAAACAACATTAGAGAAATTAACAAAGGTAAAACTAACTAGAGAAATGTACACTTTCATGAATTTGAAGACTCACCATTTGTTTACTAAATTGATCTATGAATTTCAATACAATCTTAATAAAGACCTCAGAAGACTTTTATTATAGAAATTAACAAACTGATCATCAAATTCATATGCAAAAGCTAAACACTTAGAATTACCAAAATGTTTTAAAAAGAATAACTTGAGGAGTTAACATCACTGCTTTCAATAATTATTTAAACTACAGAGAAATCACAGCATTATGGTGTGGCATAAAATTATACAAGATCATTTTACAGAATAAAGCCTAGAAATGAGTTGACACATGGATAAACACATGTATTCAATTTATATTTTATAAGGCAATGCAGAAGAAAAGCAATAGATTTTCAGTAAATGATGCTGAAACAGTTATCCGTATGGGAAAAGAAGTTTGGAATTATACAAGATACCAAAAAAAAAAAAAAAATTCAAAATAGACTGCAGACCTAAATGAAAAATCTAAAACTATAAAGCTTTTGAATGAGAACTTTGTGACCTTTACGTAGTCAAAGATATTTCTAACTACCATATCAAAAGCATGATTCATAAAAGAATGAATTAATACATTGAATATTATTAAAATTTAAAACATCCAAAGACATTAAAAGAATGCAAAAATAATCAATAAACTGGAAGAAAGTCTGGAAAACATATCAAATAATGGACATACTGATAATAAGGAAAAAACACTGACACCTCAATATTCTAAAAAATTTTAAACTTACTCTTGAGAAATAAACACCTGAAAAAATGATTAATCACTAAGGAAAAGCAACTAAAACCATAATATATTACCACTACTGAATTATTAGAATGGCTAGAAGCTGGCCATTGCATGTGCTGAAGAGGACATGAAGGACTTGGAGTTCTCCCTTACTGTTAAGTAGGTATTCGTTTAAGGATTTATGCACAAATGGTCTAAATGTCCATACCCACTTCATTAGAAGTTACCAAGAGCCTGAACAACTCAAATGTCTACCAACAGTTGAATAAACTGCAGTATTCTTCAGTCAAATACCATTTGTATTATTATGATTGTCTTTGCGTATTCGAGGTAAGTAACACTTTTGTAAGTCTTTCACATGCACAGAAATGAAAAATCAGGAGAGGTTTGTCAAAATGCTTTGGCTTATATAATTTAAAACTAGGCAAAATAACTATAAACTCTGCATAGGTGGTCAGGTGCTACCAGAACTAGATAAGATGACTATAGTACTGTACTTTTAAATTAAACTACAGAACATTATTTCATTTGAAATTTAAATTTTACTTATTCCATTTACCACAGAAATAATTATAACATCTATGATAAAAATTTTGTGGCTTTCATATTCTACTACACTGGGTTCATACATAATTTATGATTTATGTGTTTGGGAACATCCTGTAAAGAACATCCTGTAAACTACTGACATCCAGTAGTTTATTTTTCACACACAAAAATAATTGACTGTAAAGTTTTGACAAAAGTTACTGCTGTTTTCTCTTTTCAGTATTCATGAGTGAGAGACAAAACAACCTTGGTAAATTACATACAAATTAGCAAATTAATAGTCATTTGGCTGTAAGTATTTCTTCTTTTCACAGAGGAAATTTTAAAAATGATCTCCCTTACACACAAGGACCACCCTGCACGATGTGCTCAACAGAAGAGAGATGTGTAAACAAGCTCTGCCGTGAGTAAAATAGAAAACAAAATCATAACATTATTATAAATTCATTATATTTTTAAATATGGTCCTCCAACTTACAATTTATGGATAAGATTTGATTGCTTCTGACAATGAATCATGAATGATTTATCATAAAGGATCGCATTTAAATTCAGATGATCCTTCCCATCTTCACTATTTTCCCTCTGACGCTAAAGGACAGAAAAAAATGAGATACAACCATGATCCAGTTTGCTGGACCAAAGTACCTACTGGCTGAAATGTTTATTTTATAATTCCTTCTATTCATTTTCTTTTATTAATTATTAGAATAATGACTTATTTATCAGTAAACATTAATCAATGCCCAAAATTAGCTGTGAAGTAAAATTAACATATTTGTCTTCCAGTATCAGGAGGTTTTTTTGTTGTCGTTCAACACAAATATTCTTTCTTAGGATGGAATATTCTGCTGGAAAAAGATGCTTATGTGTGTAACCATGAAAGGAAAGAGATACAAAAATAGTGTTTATCCAATTATTTTATTTCTATGAAGTTCAAAATGAGGTAAAATTAATCTGTGTTTTTAGTTGGTACAGAGAGTTACTGTGGAGGAATTAGTGTTTGAGAGACTACAGTAAAAGGGCTTCCTGCACCTATGCTGTGGCTACTTCGTGCGTGCTCTTTGTAATAATTCATCAGTCTTTCCATTTATCGGATATAAATTTCAAGAGAATATAGTAGAAGTTCCCTTCAATTTCAGATTTAATTAAAAGTAGTTTTAAAAATAAATTCATCATTTATATCCTATTTATAAGCTGATGTTTTCTAGTCAAAGAGAAAAGTAACAACGCATTGGTTTATTTTACTTTCTACCCAGCTTCCTAGTCAGTCACTATTTGCCTGACTTTGTCTCCCTCCTAATTCTCTTACTTCTCTCCAAACTGTTTTATACATAGAAACTCAAGTCAAATAAAATGATTTTTTTTCTTAAATTCCTCAGTGCCTTTTTATTACAATGAAAGAAAAATTTGATTCTGTATCGTGTGACTAACATGACTAAGCACAATCTAGTTCAGGTCTCTTCTCTCCTACTGGACATTTGTTTTCCTCTCAGAAACAGATAGCAAACTCCAGGATCCCTGACGGTTTCTTTTTTTCATTCATTTTGTTTTCTTTTCTCTTGGTTTTGGTAGAGCGATCTGGTTTTTGTTGTGGGGTGCATTGTTTTCAAACATCTAGAAGTGGAAACTGGTTTTCAACTTCTTGAATAAGACCTAGCTATAGTGTTAGCTCTGAGCGGCACACACTATAAGTCTGGAAACTTTGGCTTTTTTTTTAACGTATTGAAAGTCCTCAAGCATATAAAAAAAATGCATGGTATCCTATCGGAAAGGTGACTTCGAGAAGCCACTTCGCTGCTTCAGCTCCGACGGAGCCATATGTAAATGTTGGCATGATGTTGAACCCTGCTGATATCATACAGCAGAGGAATTACCTAGAAGAACCAAAGAAACCAGACAATTGTGAGAAATACTAATAAATTGTTTTGATTTTAAGTTTTGGAGAAGTTTGCTTCACAGCAGTAGATGATGGAAACACTTATGAGGCTTGGAAAATTTTTATTAAACACTTAACATGTGAGACAAAATGTAAACGTTTCCACCTTTTCTCTGATAGTAAAGGTTGTTTATCTGAATTCAAATAAAATTTAGTTATGGATGGGTTCAATTTATGTAAGGTTAGTCAACTTCAGCTGTCCCTGCTCCAGGAGTGTAGACTCCCAGAGATTTCCAATGAGATGCTGGTATGTTCCATTGAGGCCACTTCCCTGCTGGATTTTGACTTCTGCTCTTTAAGGCTTTAGTGTCATGAAATGGCTGAACACGTCTCTGCTTTCCAGAGCCTTCAGTCTAGGTGTCCAGCCTCTTGTTCTTCACACCATCAATATTAAACAAGTTACTAGAGTACAGAACAGGCACGTCCTGTCCATTCTCCTCTCCTCTTCATCACACCTGGATCTTGATCCTTCAATTCTCCAGTTGTATCTCTCTAGCTCTGCAACTCTAGCAAAAGCTTTACTGTATCCATTTCCAAATATCAGGCTCTGCCTGGGCAAAATCCAGGTTTTCAGCCTTATTCTTGAGCCCAGAATCAGGAGCGTCTCAGGAAAAAAAAAAAAAAGCAGCCTTTCTTATACCAACTTCTATCTGTATGAATCTCCTGCTTTGAAATCTCCCTCTAGTTTGCTGCTCTAAGGAAATTCTGAGGCTTTAACACTGAGTTTTGTTAGACTTAGGAACGATTTTCTAGCTGTGGTTGATGGGAGCTTTTGTCAAGGAGATGGAAGCAGCCACTGACAATGGACTCTAAAACAGCACCACAGTCTGCATGGGTCATAGGCCTGACTGGAGGTGTTTCCCAATTTGCTCTTTTTTCCAAATTATTCAGGTATTCTCAGCCCTTTGCAAATTAAAATTAGGAAAAGCTATCAATTCCACTAAATTGATTTTGGTTAGCATTACATTAAATGCATAGGTAAACTGGGAAGATTTATAAATTTGGCAAGAATTGACATCTTCACAACATTCACTATTTCCTCATATTAAAAGTTCATTTAAGATTTCTCAGAGCTGGGTGTGGTGGCTCATGCCTGTAATCCCCAGCACTCAGAAGGCTGAGGCAGCAGGATCATTGGGAATTCGAGACCAGCCTAGGTTACAAAGTGAGCTCATGACCAGCCTGAATTACATACAGAGACCCTGACTCAAAAAGACAAGAAAAAAAGTTCATTTAGTATTTCTAAAATGGCTTTAAGTTTTAAAATTTTCCCAGAAAAAAACACTGTACATCGAATTAGAATCTTTAGTGACATAGAAGTATTTATATTATATTTAAAATTACATTTCCTAATAAATTTGGCTGATTTAAAAAATATAAATGTTCTGACCCAGGAGTCTATTACCCAGGAAACTTGCTAAACTCTTTTGTTATTTCCAATAATTTATTGATTCACTTGAATTTTCCCTAATAATCACGTTACCTGAAGGATAAAGGCATATCTTGTCCTTTCTTCTAATCTTTATATCCAATATTTGTTTTATTAATAGTAACAGGCAGCGGATTCTCCAGGACAATGTTGTATATAAACTGTAAGAGAGGATACCCTTCTCTTAACTGACTTAAAAGACCATGTTTCAATGTTATGCATATTTACCTTATGTTGTTTTAAATTTGTCCTCAGTACCAGGTTACGGAAGTAGTCTCAACTCCAAATTTTTCTAACGATTTCTTAACTTCAAAGAATCTTTAAGTAGAGCAAATTTGCTCTATTAAAATGGCCCTATAGTTTTTCCTTAAGTGTCTAAATGTTGTAAATTTATTAAAGGAGCGTGAAAGCAATTACAGTCATACTGTATAATTTCAAAAGGTACCAGGAGTTAAGTAATGAATCAATAATCCAGTATTACACTGGAAAGTCTTGTGAATCTCACAGGATATTTTATCATAACTATATTAAAGAAAAAAGAAAATTATGAGATTCACTTAGATTTATTTATTTCACTTGTAGATAATGACAAGTATCAGTTCCAGGTTGCTTTTTGGAATAAAAGTTATTAGAAACCATTGACTAACTCAGCATGTGCACTGCATGTGAGAATGAAAGTGCAATTAGGAACATGTAAGGGCTTAATATGGTCAACATGCACATCAGTCACTGACAGAAGATTAAATTCATTGTATATTTTACAAATCTCAGCCTTCAAATTGCTAATTGAGCTTTAATTGGATTTTGCTCTAATTTAACTGTTAACATAAACCAAAAATATTTACTGAAATATGAGTGAGAGATGTGATGGTCATGTAATAGGTTCTACTTACATCTATTAACTAAATGTAAGTCATTGATTTTCAGACACTACAATTCTACTAGAATATTGCTGAATAAATTTGAAATGTTAAAATAATCCAGTATTAAACCACTCTTCCTTTCCTGTGGTAAATTAGATTTGGCCATTCAGTTTTCTTTATAGATATACAGCATCTTAAGATTTTTTATTTTTAATTTCTGCATTTAATTTTAGAATTACCTTTGGCCTAGAGTTTTCCTTCTTCATTTCCCCCTACATGACTTTGACTTCAGACTTATAGTAGTTGTGGAATATGTTGGAAGATAAGAATGTTTATGTCTTTTAATATTTTGGTTACAGTTTAGTAGGATTCTGATTATCTTTAATTTTGAGAAGACATTTTTATAAAAATATTTGTTATATTTGTATGTGTGTATTATGTTTATAAATTTTAATTACTGGGTTAATTTCTTCAATGATTATGTGATATATAAGTTTGGGGAAGGCATTAGCAACTTCTCATACATTTGTCTCTCCTCTAGCTACAGATACGTTATATTTAGGTACTATAACTTTTGACTTATGTATTTTCTCTTTCTTATTGATCACTATTAAAAACCAACCTTTATTTTACTTAACTTCACTTTTTCGGGCAGGAGCTATGGCATAATGTTTAAATAGATAGGTATTGAGTCAGTGACAATTCAGGAGGTGATTATTATCATATGATAAATCATACAAAGTGATTCGAGTCCAAAAACAAAGTAGAGACTCAATAAATTTTAACTAGTATTATAATTAAGTTCCTGATTATTTATTATCAATTGACCCAATTTATATTTTCCATTGTAATTACCACTGTCTGAAATGATTAACTTTTAGATTTTTCTCCACATTACTATAAAAGACTTTCATTTATTCATTTATTTATTGACAGTCATTACATCTGAAGCTCAGACTCATCCTCAATATATAGTAGAAAATGAATGAAAATGAACAAATCAATGGAAAAATAGCAAATTAAAAAAATGAGTTCCTACTCTTTTGAAGATCACTATGTAAAATAACAACCTCAGTTACGTTCCTACCACCTTGTTTTGAAGTCTTGTTTCATCATTGTTTTGGACTCTTTGTTATTGTTATTTACTTGTCTTTTTTGTTTCTTATTTTTGTAGTAACTTGTTTTGTTCTTCCCTCTAATACAGAAAGGATAGATATACATATAAAGGCTTATACATGCCTAGAATTTCTCCTAAACAGTTTATGAGAATCGATTGTATTATGTGTATGAAATAAACAGCTATTTTGTAGAAAAAGAGACATTATGGCATCCATTGCTGATTTCCTACCATCATGCTGTGAAATCCAGTAATAGTATTATTCTGTGTTCAGAGTGGTTTTAGTCTGTCTTGTATTATTTAATTTCAGCATACATGAAGGTGTGAACAGCTATTTTGAAGATAATAAGAGATATTATGGCAGTTGATTTTCCTGTTGTCTGGTTTTGAAGGCCTGTAATGCCTTCATTACCTTGGTCTGATCAGTTTCATACTATTTTGTTTTGTGTGAATTTGTGTATGAATATATAGACAACTATTTAGAAGAAAACAAGAGACATTATGGTAGTTAATACAGATCTCCTGTTGCCTTGCTTTGAAATCTGTGTCAGTTACATTGGTTTCTTCTGATCTGGTTTGTTCTATTTTGTTCTGTTTTACCCTCTTTAAAATAAAAAAAATTACAAATAAAAAAAACAATGAGTTCCTTTAAAAATCAGATATTATTGCAATGGTAAAGTCAGGCACATTTTTGATATAGAAAAGGTGTGAGCAAAATTTGGGGCAAAGAATACTACAAAGATAAAAATTATATTTAAAACTCAAAATCAAGGAATTACATTTTGTCAGGGGTTTGAATTGGACATGGTGAAGCACCAAAAATACAGTTAACTACTTTGTAGCTTTTTCTAGTTTAGATTCTTATGCCTTTAATATAAAAAGTGTTCTAGAAGTATTATAAGCAAGACACCATTGGCAGGCATTTTATAAGATTTTGATGTGCTACAGGGCTTGTGTAGAAACTTTCATTTACCTAAGTTAAAAAATCAAACTAATTTTTCTAAATTGATTATCTTGTTCTTAAGTCAGAAAAACGAGTGAATGCTTTTCATTTTATTTTTTCTTATATTTAAGATCTCTAAAACCTATTGCACTTGCCATAGTACATGTCAAATATTTTAATATTGATTCAATGATTGCTTCCCCCCTGTGATTAAATTGAGCTTTTAATTGTTCCATTTTATTGACAGAACGTAAAGACCTGAAGCCAACGGGGAAAGCACCTCAGCAGATAGTATACAATGTACTTAGCCTAGGTTTTATTCTTCTGAGAGCAATTTAATTGTCATTTATACGTGAGAAAAATGCTTAAATTTTATAATAAAGGAATACTTAATGGTTAAATGTAACTCATTAGAAGTTTAATTCTCTATTAAGTCTTCTGTACTCTTGTCTGTTATCTAAATTTAATGTGTTTTATTTAAAATATACTGTAATTGTATAATGTAAAATGTAAAGTTGTAAAATTATAAATTGTGTCATGTAAAATAATTGTAATTTGGAAAACAGAAAACAATAAAATAAACTCTTAAGCTATTTTTTTTAAATTACTTTTCACATGTCTGGAAAGAGTCTCAATCTCTAATTTTCTAATGGACATGAATTTTTAAAATATTAAATTGTGCCTTAATAAATGGATTAAATCAACTCATTAAATTTCGTAAGTAAAATTAATAAGTACATATGATTTCAAAAGTAAATTTATTTCTTGAAAATTATAATTAATTTTTTAGGATATTGTATTTAAAAATATGTCATATATAAAAAAGAATGTAAATGATGTACCTTTTTTTTGGTACCAGGGGTAAAACTCATGACCTTGCACTTGCCAACCAGGCACTTATGCCGCTGAGCTAAATCCAGCAATAGTGTACCTTTTTAAAGCTGTACAAAATTATCTATCATATAGTATTGCAACTTTCCTACAAACCAAAGAATTATGCAATTCTAGCATTTCTTTTGTCTAAGGAAAAAAATCAAAAGCATTATTCAATGAATTGTTTTAAATGTCACAAATGCTGAATTATTGATTCTTATAAACCATTTTTTTATCTAAGACCAGGCACATTCCACCCTATGTATTTAAAAGCACTATTAAATGGATTTCTAACAAGACTGAGAATTGTTTTGTATATATTGCCAAATATTTAGGAATTTCTACATAACTGGGAGATTCTTGCTATTTTTCACAATGAAACTTAGTGGGAAACATGATAAAACTAAGGTTTACTGGGTGTGGTGGAGCACCCCTATAATCCTAGCTTTTGGGAGGCTGAAGCAGGTAGATCACCATGAGTTCTACACCAATCTGGGCTACATAATGAGTTCAAGGCCAGCCTGAACTGCATTAGCAAGACCTTGTGTCAAAAACCAAAACAATAACAACATCAAAAACTAAGATATGTACAGAACAGGAAGTTGGTGACTTTCAACTCAAATCTAAAGTTACATACATGTAACACTCATTATGTATATTTTTATTTTACTCATTCTATATATTTTTATCATTGAAGATACATATGATAAAAACTAAACAGGGTGAAAGATAAAGGAATTAGAAAATAAGTACTAAGAGGATATATTTAAGGCAGGAAGGTAATAAAACCACTTTTGGCACTTGCATATGGTTTGCTGGCACTATCATCTGTATAATTAATTTAAATTTCTCTTTCAGCTGTAGTGCCAATATGCATCATCATTCTGAATTGACTGGTTTAGCTAAACCTACATAACATAATCTATAATTAAATTTACCTGGGCTCACAAATGACTGCAAGGGAAAGACGTAGAATATATAATCATCACTCTCAGTGGAGCTCCCATCACACCTCAGGAAACTCACACACCATGAGTCCATGTTATCCAGTCAAAACTGACAGACACTCAGCCCTGGACACATCAGAGACACCACACTGATTATTGTCACAACAGCTTAATAAACAGTTTTAGGCATGCACAACAAAGCTGGCACCACGCTAAGTATTAAAAATTAGTTTTAGTTCTTGTCAATGTAAGTGAAAATGATATCGTATTTTGATTTAATAATAATAATGACAAGCATTGAGTAGTGTTTATAATATTTCAAGCATGGATTTACATATTATAAGTAATATAATTTTTTCAATAATTCTGTGAGGTAAATACTAATTTTTGCTTCATACACTCATAGATCTAAACATATTTTCATAAACGGCATTCCAATTTATCAAGACACTGAGAGTTATTTTGTTGTTTTACTTTGTTTTGTTTTGTTTGAGACAGGGTCTCACTATGTAGCCCAGGCTGGCCTCAAACTCACAGTGATCATCCTGCCTCTGCCTCCCCAGTGCTGAGATTATAAGCATGTGCCACCACATCCAGCCTTGAAAGTTATTAAAGTAGGTTTGAAATGCAATCTTTTCATGAAGTTGAATTGTTCAGGCATCTAGCCACATTAAGTACTGACCTGAAAAACATAGGAGTTGTGTATATTTAGGAGTAATATTTGTATATAAATACTCGATGTTATGACCTCTTGGATCAGGACAACCTGTATTTGAAATCATCAGACTTATATTTGTCATGGAATTTGTTTATATACAATCTGCCTTTAGTACGTGAAAATAGAAGTAGCATGAATATTTCTACCATACTGGTGCGGTTTTTTTCTTTTTTGTGTTTTTTCCCTAGCCCTTTGATGGTTTTTTTCTTTTACTTATTTTTCTTTGGAAATGACCTACTCATCTATGTACATTTTTCTAATGGTGTTGGTAACACTTATTTTTTCAGAAATTTTTAATGATTCCTAGCATGTCAGGAATTTTAATCCTGTGACATTTATCCAGCAAGTATCTTTGTCTGTTGTTTTCCTCTTACATTTTAATGAAGTAAAGTTCATATTTCTATTTCCAATGTTGGCTTTTATGTGTAGTACCACCATAATTTTCCCTTATACAGTTCTTCATGTGCCATTATTAAAACAACATATTTACACTACAGAAAAGATCAATTCAGGATTTATGGAAAATAATAGGAAAAGAGTCAATAAATTTTAAAACAATGTATCTTTCCAATAGTACCTATACACAGATAAAAATACATTTCAGGCTCTTTAGCTTTGTTATAGTAATTCTCACTAAATAAGCATGAATAGAAAATTCTGAACCAGCTACTTTTCATTAAAACCAGAAAGTTACAAATTACAGTTAGTTTTCTTAAAATGTCAAGTATAGTGTACAGAAACAATACTTGAGGGATTTTTTACTGTCCAAAATCATTCAATATAAGCAAAAAGCTTAATTGCTTTGTTTCTAATGCATTCCTAGTTTTTAAAAGGAAGTACTATCTGTTAACCAAAACAACATAAAAATGGGTATCACAAATTCAGCAGCAAAGTTTAAGTAAAATAAATGAAAAATATAATTTTCCACATTTCTTGTAAACAAATAAGTAGTTTTGTCAATATTCTCTAACATTTCAAGTACCTTCAAGCAGCTTAATGTGCTAAATTATTGTAAAACTAAGGAAGTTAAAAACTGCAGAGCCAGCTATTTGCTTACTGCTGAGACACAATATGTGACACTCATAATCTAAAGAAAGAAAGGTTTATTTTGTCTCGCTTGTTGTTGGGATTTTAATCTGTATTCTGGCTCCAAGGCAAGACTGCGTGGCAAAGTGGCATAGCAGTGGATAAACAAATCATGACACGGTGGCAAGAAGAGAGAGATAGAGGAAGAGTGGGGGAGATATACCATTGCAAGCCACACCCCCAGTGATCCACTTTCTGGGAACCTGCTTTGCCTCCCAACATTTTATTCAGTTATAAAAATATTACTGGATTAACCCTGAAAGTGCCACCTATGAGCCTATGAGGCTTTACGTGGACATCTAGACATGAACCATAGCAAGTTCCAAATTTTAATATTCAAAAAGTCACAAGCAGCAAAATCTTACTAAAAATATAGCACACCTTTTGATCCTGAGGTAAAAATTATCATTTAGTATTATGTAGGCTGCCACTGGAAAAGGTAAGTTCCTGCACACCATCCCAAGCCCCAGGAGAGTTTAAGATCCTCGCTCCCAGAAATCAAGGACCCACACAGCTTACAGCCACACTAGATGGGGCTCTGAAGGTATCGGCCTGCCTGGGCCACACCCAGTGACTTTGTTTCAATCTAGGGAACTGCACTGCTGCCAGAGGAGGTGAGATCCTGCATACCATCCCAAGCCCTGGGAGAGTTTAAGATCATTGCTCCCAGTGATCAAGGACCCGTCCAGCTTCCAGCCCTAGTAAGCTAGGCTTGGGAGGGTTTGCAGCCTGACTACATTACACCCAGCCACCTTCTTCAATCAGAGGAGTTGAGGGAATATGAAGTGGGTTCCAGTGCATTGGTCCTAGCCTGGGGAGAGCTTTAGACATCCACAGTGGTTAGGTGCCCACCCAGCTTCCTGGAACACTGGAAGTGGCACAGAAGGTTCTGTGGATCTGACTGGACCATGCTCAGCAATGTCCATTCAGTTCCAGGAGCCCAGGGCACAGGAGATAATTTCCAGCATGCCCATAGGAAGCCTTGGAACATCAATTGAAACACAGAAATAAAGGGAAATGATAAAACAAAAGACCAAAATGCAATCTCAAACCTCCAGCCCATCCCAAGAAAGCCTAAGAGCCATGTACATAGAAGAAAATATATGCCATACACCTGAAACCTGAAATGATAGCAACTAAAATAAAGAAGCAACTACGGAAACCTTTAAAGGAATTGAAACTAGAAATAATCTCCCAGGTAAAAGAAGAAATTATAAAAGTAGTGAAAGAGATGCAGAACACATCTAAAGAAGACACAATTTAAAAATTAAAGGAACAAAACAAAAGATTTCCTGGATGAACATATAAGAAACAAATATAAGATACAAACAGAATACATGAAGCAGAGTCAAAGGGATATACAGGAAATCAAAAATTCCATTGAAAGTTGTAAAAACCACCTCAGTGAAAGTGAAGATAGAATTGCAGACCTCGAACACAAGATTTCAGCTAGTGAACAGAAAAGGAAACATCTTTTAAAAATAACAAGGAATCAGGAAACAATTCTACAGCTGCAAGATGATGCAAAGAAAAACAACATAAGATTGATAGGGATAAATAAAAAGAAGGGGACAACACAAATGACATCAATAGGCTATTTACAGAAGAAATTGCTGAAAATTTCCCAAACATGAGAATGAAAACTGACATTACGATTATTGAAGCATGTAGAACTCCAAATAGCCATAACCAAAATAAAACTACACTCAAACATATAATCACCATCTCAGAAATCCAATGTAAGAATAGAATATTAAAA